TGTTAGGATGAAGCTCAGTTGTCTGACCTGCCTTTTTTTGCATCCCATTATTTGAAGATTCAAAATTCCCCTGGGGGAAGGATGAAACCCCCACTGACTTCAGCAAGTGGAGGGTGAGGCTTAAGGCTGACACCAAGCAAAAAAGCTGGGTATAATGAAACACAGAATGGTCACAAATAAACTCCTGAGGCAGACATAGCACTGAGCTGCCCGGGCTGAATGAACAAGTGCGATGCCAAGCAGCGTGCAAGCAAGGGAAGAGGCTGTGGGACCTGGTTTCAGCACAGCGACCATCTGTTTCCTATTTGGCCCAAAAAACGATGGAATTGGTCATGTCACGCAATAGTGAGAAAGAATTTCGGAGCAAGTCCCACTTTCCCAGTGCTGATCAGGGACCTTTATCAGAACAAGGGAAAACAGGTCAACTTCCAGTCTCCATCCCTCCCCTTATCCCATTTCTACCCAGATGCTTGCTGTACTTTTAAGGAAATGATACCCACAGTCTCACAGCCAGACAGAGAAAATCCAGCCTGAGAGGTATAATATAACAGTGTAGGCCAACTGGCATGGTCAGACAGCGCTCAGAAGGATGCGTGTTTATCCCCCTTGGGCTTTGCAGGCTGCCAGCTCCAAGAAATGGAAATCTGGGGGGCTGAAGACTGAATTAGGCATGAAGAAGGCTAAGCTCCAAACTCGTTGAAGGTTTTAGGAAAGGGGTTAGTACAGGGGCTATTTACTCTGTAAGCAAAGGTGATTGTGGTTTTTGTAGCTCTGCCTGATCTCATGCCATAGCTGCAAGCAATAAATAGTGCAAAACATAGCAAAATAAAGGCTTTCAGGGGCTGCAAAGCCTCTCGTGTATTTAGCCATGTCCCCCACTGGCTGCTATATGCCACCACTCCATGGCGATGGGCACCTGAACTGAACCTGCATGAGTATTTCTGATCGCAAAAGAGAGACCTGTTTGGGGTAATTTTTGGACACGGGGTGGTTGATGCAGAATTGGAAATCTTTGAAAATGTTTGCTTTTCCTCCGACACGAGGTCACGCTGCCTTTCTGTGCCTTGTTCAGCCTCCTGCAAAATGGGGCAAGGTACCTTTCTCAAGTTCTTGGAGTCCTATAATGGAAAAATACTTGGTAGCTGTTAAGCAGGGGTTTGGTCCAGCTCCATCTCATTAAAAGCACGCAGAGGAATGCTATCACTTTGCCAGTCCAGATCTCTGTCCCTTCTGCTTGTGACTCATGAGATGAGGGCAGTCCCACAAAGATAGGAAAAGGCCATTCGCCCAAACAGCCATCAGTAATAATTTTACTAGAAGACTTTTCCCACTGCAGCCCAAGAGGCAGCTTTTCCACAGTCTGTCAGTGAGGGAATCTTCAGAAATACCTGAATTTATTTCACATAGATGCTTGGATTTGGAGTTCAGACAAGGTAGCAATAGAGTGGGAAGAGATACAAATTCTGATTCAGCTCCTCTATTGCATATTCTATTTTGCAAAGAAAATGCTACTTGATTTTAGCTGTTTACTATACCTGGAGTTTATTTCACTGTACATGGGGCTCAGTAGGAGAGGTGACCATATAACCCATCACACTGTATATGCCGATGACTTTAATTTCTGTGTATGGATGGTACTCATAGTGAATCTTTTTTTATTAGTCTGTAAAGTGCCCTACATACCTCAATAGCATCGTGAGGATGAGGAACATTTGAATGCATTTTGAGTTACTGATGTCACTGAGGCCGGATAGGAAAAATGGTAAGATGAATATCAGGTGTTTGCAATCAAGGATCTAAGACTGAAGAAAAATCTCCCAGAGGAGAAAAGCTATTAACAAGATGTAAAATCAGAGCATACGGTCAGTGCCTTAGAATTACAATAGGAAGACACACGCATACACAACTCAGTACACTCTAGAGCATGCTAAGGGATGAGATGGCTGATTTTTGTCTTCTCCCTTTGCTCAATTATCTGTATGAACACAGATATACAAGCTGACACTGCACTCAAGGGGCAACAAAGTCTTTATTCCTTGGTTTGCACTGGTGCAGAGGCTTCCACAGTGCTCCTCTTAACAGCATCTGCAGAGAGAAATCTGGGAGCAGATCCAGGCAGCTGCTCATTTCAGTTTGTTTTTGTAATTAAGGAGTGAAACAAACAAACGGAGAAGATCAGATAGTGAGAATATTAGAAAATCGTTAGAAAATAGGCCAGCGTTCTGCATCCTCCCTATGCATTTTCTCAGGTGCCAGACTTTGCAACGCCACTACCTCCAGCCAGTCTTGGGCCCAGTTTTTCCTGTCAATTACTGACAGCACACTTGGCACAAAATGTAAGGAGACAAGACTCTTCCCCAGGAATCTGCAGGCTCAATCAGACCCAGACAAAATAATATGAGCACGTGTGCTACTTTGGCTGCCACTGGAGTTCAGTGCAGGGTGAGGTAATCTGGTCATTCTCGAAACACAAGATGTTCTCATGTCCGGGTGCTGTTGGAGATGGCCTAAGTGCAAAAGTGGACAGGACTTAGGATTGCTCCTCCTGGCCCAGCAGTTCTTTGGGACATTACAGGTGGTCTGATCCCAGGCTTCAGGACTTCAGTCCTGCAGCATGATCTGGCACTGGGTTTGGTCTCAGGAGGGCTTTATGGCACCAGCCATTGGAATGAACAACCCAACTACTTGGGTTTGAGTGGCTACCTAAACAGGACAAATTGCCATTTGATTATAAATATCCTTCAAAGTTCAAGGATATTTAAAAACAGCTTTTTCTTTCACATCAACTCCATTGATTAGATGAGAGGCAAGAAGAAATTAGAGCAATCACCAGACTGCAGGCTCAGAGACTTGAGCTCCATCCTGATGGCAAAGTCACTTCTCCAAGAATTTCCAGAGGGAACTTCACACTAAAGCTTCCAAATCCTCAATCCTAGACTCTGCTTTTGCCCAACAAATGTTCTACACTGTGCTCACCTGGCTTGAATGAACCATACAGAATAACCATGACTAGGCTGTAGCATCCCACGAGGACTCTTCACCTTGCACATTGACAATTTACCAAACATACTTCATTCTCAGGCCTCACCAAAGCAAGAAGGGGCAGGAAAGCACCCACACTTTTGTCACTCAGTCCACCACAAAAGCCTTGCCTGGCCATATCCTATTACCCTACTCATCAATACTGGTTGGGATCTGCTCTACTGAAAAGGATATGGGTGTTATTGGTGGATCTCAGGCTGAAAAAGAACCAGCAAGGAGCGTGCACTCATTGCAGACAAGACAAAGTAAATACTGTGCCACATTGGAAGTTGGAAGCCTTCTGCTTTTGTCAGGAGGTGTGGAGGACTTCAAGAGCTTGAGAGTCATGGCTAGCAGGGATTGGTAGTTCATTAGCCCAACAAGCAAGCTTTTTGTAGCTGGGAAGGAAAAGGCTTTGGCACTTGTCAAGCAGGCTCAGAGCTGCTGTGGTCTCTCTGGACCCAGTTAGGACTGTCACTGAAAAACAGTTGGTTTTGGCCAGCAGGAACTCTCCTGAGGATCTACTTTTCACTGATAGGCTTCTGACCTAGGTAGCTTCCTCCTCTGCTTCGTACATGGCCACCAAGAGCTGGAAGCATCTCACAGGCAATGGGACACCTTCAGTCCATCATCTTGATCCCGATAAGCAGCAAAATAAAAGGATTAATGCAGACAGAAAGCCAGCTGCCAGAGGATGGGGCATGCTTGGAGGTACCAGAAATCCAGATTCCCCCCCATAGCAATCCAAGCTTTGCTCAATGAGACACGCAGCCTAGGCAAGCTGCAGTTCCTGTGAGCGCTGGAAGATGTGTTGCAGCCTAGCCCTTCCGCACTTGGCTCTTTGGTAGCAGGGATTTCAAACCCTCATAACTCAAGTCTTTCAGCATCATTCTATGCTGATCCAAGCTGATTTTTTTAACCTCAAAGTCCTGCTCAGCCACTTTGAGATATTCCAGACATTTTTCAACCATTTATTTTTATTGAAACCAGCCAAGTCTCTGTATATATTGAGCTTTTTTTTATCTTTTTAATATACAAATCAGTTTAAAATAGTGTGTAAGTCAGGAATGATTTGCAAATTAAACTGTCAACCCCTGGCAGGAGTAGGGGCTGACGCCCATGGTTTGAAATCTCCCGGCTGCTGTTGCTGTGAGTGCAGATCTCTAGAAGATGCCACACAACCTGCTTGTGCTTTCCTGGAAAATTCACCTATCCTTTGATTTTAGGAAAATCTTACGGTTCCTGAAAATGCTGCTGCATGCAATTCTCTAATGGGATCACGTGGCCAAGGCAAGGGCTGTGATAGTTTAGGAGTCCGCTGCTGGGGATGCGGTTGTGCCAGTTGTTTGGGCAAATGTCTTCTGGCTGCCAGCACTATCCTGCTCCCATGGCAGGGCAGGAAGAGCCTCCAATTGGGAAGAAGCTGCTCAAATGGAGGAAGGACTCAAAAGACTAAGCACCATGTTCAGTAGACAAGACTTTGTAGGACCTGCATATTGGCCTGATCCTCCCTGTCACAGCAGAAAATGACCTGTGCCCTCCATGAGCATCAAAGCACTCTGCTTGGACTCAGCAACCCTATCTATTTCTCTGGGCCATTCGCCATATGGCTGGCTCAAAAATGACCCCCGACTTTCCTTTCCCCTTTGCTCTCCTTGGTATAGTTCACGTCTCTGTTCTTTCTCAGACTTTAAAATTACTTTTGCACAGGGCAGAGGATGAGAAATTAAAAGTGGGGATTGTGTGTCTGCTCCAAAACGTGCATCTGGAACCAGTGGAAAACAGTAACTGTAAAAACAGGTATTTTCCTAGTGATTTATTGGTGATCCCATATTGACTCTCTGTTCAGATAGAACAGCAATATATATAACTACCAAGAATGTACAAATACATTGGTTAAAATGTTCTTAGGTGACAATATTTTGAGCCCTAAAAATGCTGACATAGCCATCAATACACCTCTGTTTCTATTTTTCCAGATTGCTGGGAAGTCAGTGACCATGCCGACCTCCTCCACCCAACTGCCAGAACCTGACTCTATCAACTCCACCCAGCAACCCAACTCCAGCACCTACTTGTTCTCCAAGTTCATCCACCCCGACGAAGAACTGTATGCAGAATTTTACAGCCTGTGGATTGCCCTGATAGTAGTCAACGTCATCATTTTCCTGGTGGGTGTTGTGCTGAACAGCTTGGCGCTGTATGTTTTTTGCTTCCGTACCAAGACAAAAACCACCTCTGTTATTTACACCATCAACTTGATTGTTACTGATCTCTTGGTGGGCTTTTCCTTGCCTGTCCGGATCATCATGTTCTATAGTGCAGGAGACTGCCCAAATTGTTCCTTGGTTCATATCTTTGGGTACTTTGTCAACATGTACTGCAGCATCCTCTTCTTGACATGCATCTGCGTTGACCGCTATCTGGCAATCGTACAGGTGGAGGCCTCACGTAAATGGAGGAATCCCACCTGTGCCAAGGGCATCTGTGTCTTCATTTGGATCTTTGCCACTGTGGTGACTTTCTCCATCCTGACCATGGCAATACAGTTTGCTGAGTGCTGCCTCTCCAAGATTCTGGTCCTGATGGTCTGTGAGTACTTCTTCCCCCTCATCATAATCATCTTTTTCACCACCAGGATTATGTGTGCTCTGTCCAAGCCCAGCCTCATGCACCAGAGTCGGGAGAGGAGAATGAGGGCTGTGCAACTTCTTATCACTGTCCTCATCATCTTCATGATCTGTTTCACTCCTTTTCACGTGCGACAGGTAGCAATCTCCATCAACCCGGACATGCCCCATCGTGTCAGCCTCCTCGTCTACCATGTGACAGTGACTCTGAGCAGCCTCAACAGCTGCATGGACCCCATTGTCTACTGCTTTGTCACCAATAACTTCCAGTCAACCATGAAAAACATCTTCAGGAAAACCGAGTCAGAGCAAACCAGTGTGGACATCCTGGGTATGAACAAGAACTCCAAGGGCTCCAATGCAATCATCGCCTTCTCAAACTCAATAGGAAGACCTGTGAGCTTGCCAGCACCAAGCAGTGTCCAGATATAACCCACATCTGATGGGACATGCTGCAGTAAGCCAGTGTAATGATGCTGGAATATTGCTAGGATGCATGGTACTATTGTCTTTGAACTCTTTGTTTTCTAGGCCGAGGTTCAGAATGACGGTGGTGGAATTTATTCCTCAAGAACATTGTGGTCTGTTTGGAAAATGGAACTGGCAGTGCTGCTAGTACCAATACAAAAGAGAGTATATTAATTACTGTTCCCAACCAGAAAGTTTTCTTTGTATTTTAATACAGACATTTTCCTAGCTACAAATTCTTTACTGTGGTTTTCTTTTCATGTTTGACATCATAATGTGACACTCCTAGGATGAATTAGAAATCAGGAAATCTCTGCTTTTTATGGAAGTTTTGGGGCCTTAGGCATGTCCTTAAGAGTAAAGGATATGAAAGATGTTCCCAGAGCTACCCACTACAAAGATTTTGGATGCCAATGATGTGGGAAAGAAAGTATTCTAACCTACCTGTCATGAGTAACTACTCATCTGTTTCTGAAAAAGGCTGAACCTTCTCAAGGAAGAGAAGATTAAGTCAAGCAGTAAAGTCTCCTCTCACTATTTCAGCTATCAGAAGAAAATATATGAGGGTGTATATGTTTTCATACACATTGGCTGGGCTTGGGGAGAGGTTATGTTCCAACTTCATTTGGATCACTAAATCCCCTTAACTGCAGATAAGCATACAAAAAAGCTGTGAAAATGAACAGCAAACTCTGCTCTTCTGCTCTCTCTCCCTGAAGAACAGCCAAGATGAAAAGCAGAACCAGACTACGATGCTACACTACACTTGCTTGCTTTTTCTTCCTGGCACGTTGTAATGTCAGTGCTTACTGTCCTAAATCCCACTATCAGTCCATCCACACAGTCACTTAAATGCTGATGCTTCAAACAAAAAAAAAGGATACATCTCAGGCATCCAGCTTGAAATTCACCCCACTATAAAGTCACTAGGATGAATTAAGAGTCATGTTTAAATGGTGTATGAGGCTAAGGTTGCTGGAAAATTCTGTCCCCAATGGTGGGTAAATGTTTTAGATTACATGCGAATACAAAAAATTATCCCAGAAAAACCTGCAGCACAAGCAGCAATAACTTGTTATAGCTCTATGTCTCTTCACTCACATGTCCATTGCCCCTCCAGCTGGAAGGTTATTATGAATTCATGAAGCCTAGAGAACGGCTTTTCCTGGCACTCACTGGTGTTACCATTCAGAATGGTTGGTCCAAACCGGGGCATCCTAGAGTACTCAGCTTCCCCTGGGTCTGACCATGGGACAGCCATTTCTATTTCACAGGTACACAACATAACCAATGCTTCAAACTGCCTCTTGCAATTGAGTTTGCAAGAGTTTGCTTCTTGTAACACAGAGATTTTAGGGGAGCGAACCTGTTCCGCTGGCCAATCCAATGGTATAAAAACTGAACAGTCAACATCAATGCAATACAGGGATCTAGACACAGATAAGTATGTTTCTTCCTAGGAGCACTGAGTGCCCCAGTTCACATTCTGGGCAGTGGAGTCCATGGAGAGCTATTCAGGTCATGGAAAAAAAGACCTTCCGCTTGAGTGATCCTGGCCTCCATATTGCCTAGATCTCCAGGGATGTAAGAGGAGCCCAGACACCACCTGCACATGGAGATACTTTAATGCATGCATCTTAATCCAGCACCAAAGTCATAGAATCACAGAATCATTGGGTCAGAAAAGACCTTTAAGATCACTGAGTCCAACAGTAACCTGTCCACTACTAAACCATGTCCTGAAGCATCACATCTCCCTGTCTTTTACATACCTCCAGGGATGGCAACTCCACCACCTCCCTGCACAACCTGTTCCAGTGTCTGATAACCCTTTCAGTGAAGAAATTTCTCTTCACATCCAATCTAAACCTCCTTTGACACAACTTGAGGCCATTTCCTCTCATTCAATCATCTGTTACCTGGGAGAAGAGACCAAACCCCACCTTGCTACAGCCTCCCTTCAGGTACTTGTAGAGGGCAATAAGGTCTCCTTTCAGCCTCCTCATCTCCAGGCTGAACAATCCCAGCTCCCTCAGCTGCTCCTCCTAAGACTTGTGCTCCAGACCTCTCACCAGTTTTGTTGCCCTTCTCTGGACACACTTCAGTGCCTCAATGTCCTTCTTGTAGTGAGGGGCCCAAAACTGAAGTACCCCAAGGAAAGGACTCAGTTGTCAACAGGCCAGTGCCTAATGCCACACGTGATTGTGTGTTACCCACACCTCTAGCTCCTGCAGCACCAGACCGTGATTCTCCTGCAAATCCTGCACCATCCCAGGGGCCCTATCCTCAGATACCCCATAGCATTCACTTCTGCTTGGGCAGCTGAGTCCTGTGCCTGAAATAAAATCATGTGTCTAGAATCTATAAATGGGCAGTGTTCAGTTGGCTTGTGCCCCTGCAGGCCTCACCCAGAACATCAGCACGACGCTATCAGCTGCAGTTGGTCCATTTACTCAGGCTCTTGATCAACCTGGGGCATAACAAATGCCATTGCTGGAGAAGTGACATCTTTGAGGTTTTCCCAAGCAATACAGCTGACTCAGTGACCTTTTGCTGGGAGTTCTGTTCCTTTGAAGAGGGTTTTCCTTCCAGGAGGTTGTGATGAGGGCCACCAACACTGTGGCACTACACATGGGATGTTATTCTGGTCATTGTTTCCCATTCTAGACATGGCCTCCTAGACATGGTGAGCATCTCCAGGGCCCAATTGCATTGTGTTTTCCTTCTGCATCATCTATTTCCTTATTCATCTGCAAATAATAGGTATATGTGATAAGCATATATATAACATAAACACCTAACAGCCAATGCCACCTTCTTGGCAGCTCTCTGTGAAATGATGTATCAGCATACATGGATTAGGCTCTGACTTCTCAGCCACACTGGTCACTTCACATTTTTGCCACCATTTTCCACCGGCCCCTCATTTGGACAAAATATTTTATGCCTCAACAGTCTGTGCTTCCCTGCAAACCCCAAAAACTCATGCTCACCTACCCACAAGACACTCTCAGACCTTCCCATGCCATTTCAGCTGTTTGTAATGAAATTTTGTGTCACATATACAGAGCTGTTAGCAGTACTGTCTTTTGCCAAGACTGCTCCAGAGAAACAGGAGGAAAAGTGCAGCTCAGTGTATATCTTATTTTAGTTTCTTTGTCCCAGCAAACTACAGCTTCACACCTCCCTTTCTTTTGCTATCAACAGCATTTTTGCCATATACAGAAATGTCTCCACATCTTCCTCAGTGCCATTGCTCATTTGAGGTCAGCATAAAATCTCTAAGATTATTTGCTTAGATTTTTAAGTTCCCAAACAGGGTCTCAGTTGAAGCTCTGCCTTTCTGCTGTAAATTTAACTTGTAGTAGTCTGAATTCCCTTTACTGTCAGTGCAGTATTCACTCCCTATAAAAGCCACCTGAGACTGGATAATTCTTTTTATTTGGTACTGCCTAGTGCCTTATCCAAAGCTTTCTGTGGTCCTTCTCCATTTCATATCAGCTCCAAAGTAGGGTCTGGCCTCTTATCAAGAACACAGTCCCCAAAAATCAGAAAAAGGTTAAATAATTCATTAGCCTATTTTTTAGTGACTTTTTCTGCTCTCTGATTAATCCATATAGTTTACAAATCTTGCTTTTCCTCAGGGTGCAGCAATTGCTAAACTTCTGCCTTATTCAAAGTCATCCATTTCTGCTCAGGGTCCAATGCTGAAAATCAGTGCCAAAAACTCAGCTATCACCAGAAATACTCTTCCAAATGGCACCATTTTGGTGGCCACCTCATTGCTGATGAAGCCTTCCTCAGTTCTCAGTATTTCTGGAGATGGGGGAGAGGTCTCCTACTCCTCGATCTGCACCATCCCTCTGCCCAGGGTTATCTCCTTGGGTTGCCTCTTAGTGATCACCAACAGGGATTGCAGTTGTCCTGCTCCTACCCCAACCTGTCCTTTCTCTGATGAAAACAGCACAACCAAAGCCCATGATGACACACAACACAATAGGGAAGCCTCTAAGGGCAATGTGAGTAACTTCATGCATCATTAAATACACGCAGAGACTGTTAAGGTAAAGCACACACAGGTCAGCTTTTACAGGGCAGTCTTTATGCAGAGCATTTAAAGATTAAGATGCCAAATTCCCAACGGTTTCAAACAAAATCAGGCACTTAAAAGCCTTTGAGGATCTGGATCATTACCCAGAGGCTGAAATAGTACTAGGGATAGATGAGCATTGCATATCAGCCTACCACCACCAAGTCTGCAGTAAACAGAATACAGCATTCCCTAAAGAGCTTAACAGCAATAAAGAGCTCTGCAAAAAGCCTCGACCTTTCAGGGGAATTACAGCATTCATTCCTCTTTGATGTGCTGTGGCTCTCTTGTGCATCTCAAATCCTATGAAGTGAATTAGAAATATCCTCTTCTACCAGCTGCCCAGAGGCTAGCAAAAAAAAAGATCATGAAAAATATCACATGTACTTCTTGGGATCTCAGTCATTAGCACAGCCTGCATTTGAAAGCACTTCTATCTTTGCAAAGCATTTCCTATTACAGCCCAGAAACCTGCAGAGAGGCAGAGGTGCAGAACAGCCAGCGCTCAGTCATACTGCAAACATATCCGCAGCCCAGCAAAACTGAAAACCTCCAATTCTACACCAGAAAAGGAGCCCCTGACTCCACAGGTGGGGTTATCTGCCAGACTGGCTTCCTCCTGGGCTCTGAGCAAACTCTGCCCTCCCTCCCCAACCGTTCTTGGTAACTCAAAGAGGACACAGCCCAGCTACAAGCAAAGGCAATTTCTTCCTTCCTTGTCCCTCTGAGTTTTGCTGTCTCTCAGATGTCTGCACAAGAGTCTCATGACTCAGCCTAATCAGCATTAATTAGTACTGTTAGCAGGTGTAGGCTCAAGTTGCAGAAAGGCTGAGGAAAGCAAAGGAGAGGGAGCCAATGGGTTAAATAAGTGGAGCTCTGTGGAGGGGAGGGCTGGTGAAACCAAGACTGAGGAAGTGGATGCAGGGGAAAGCAGTCAGGGAACATAGGGACCTGATATCCCGCAAAGGATGATACAGGAAAACAAGTGAGGGCTTGACATGTTTTTCCCCTTCTGGGCATCGTTAGCCCAAAAACAAGAGTTCTGGGGAGGATTCCAGTACTTGGATCAGAGCTGGAAAACTCCCATTTTAGGAAGAAAAAGCCTAAAAGCAGAGTATTTTATCCCCTTCCTGTGGTGAGGCCCAGAAAAGGGACAAGAGTGATCTCCCCATATCCATCAGAGTCTTGCTGTAAAAGACAGGAAGGTCTCTTGTGTGGCTTTGCTTTGACCTGTCTCCATCCCTCCTGTATACCCAGCTGATGCTGCAAAAAGCACCAAAACATCCCTGGCAGAGATGTGATTGTATAGGTCTTAGTTCATCAAACTACCCTTCTGCAGGATGCTTCACTATAGCTTCAGAGATCAGATTAATTTAGGTATCAGTTTGGGTCCTAAAGCAAGTGATTTTGCTTTTCCCTCATGCTTGTCTGTAGAGATAAGAGTCCAACTCAGGACTGAGGTCCTCCTTTCCAGCTACCCATGCAACAAGACAGATCCTGCCAGATGAAATAAAGCTGAGTTTACATGGAGGAGAAAGTCCTTGATCACCACATTGCACTCTCAGTGAAAGCTCATAGAGGGGAGCTTCTTCCACCCCAATGAGAAAGTAAGTAACCCTCTCCCAGCTCCATTCCCCTTCCTGAATTTGCCTTAATAAATCCAAGTCTTCATATTGGGAAGGGCAGATTGCTGTCCATCACCTGTCAACACCGGGCCACAGAAAAGCAAAGGTAAATATTTAGCACAGATGTTTAGTTTAAGCTCCATTAATAGGAGGAAATTAAACAACTGGCAGGCCTTTCCTAGTCTGCTTTCTACACTGACTTGACAATATAAGGCCATCTTGGCAATAGCCCATCAAAAAAAGGAAACATGCTTAGGACCACAAGGAGAGAAGAAACAAAGGGATAACGTGGACAAGGATGTCCCCCATCACTCTTGATGTTATGGCTTTTGGCTTAGTTTGAGCTGGACAAAGAAATCTCTTTACCTGCCTCCTTCCAGCCCTACCACCCACCCATCATGGGCAAACGTGATCCAGAGTTTGGTTGTCATATAGGTTGTGGGGGGAAGTATATTCAAGCACCAGCTGACTCTCAAACCACCATGTAGAGATATACAATGTTCCATGAATGTATAGATCTGCCAGAATAGGTTTTATTTTGTTAAGATATGAATCAAGAGCTCTGGTCCAAACATATCACCTCCAACCATGCCACCTTTGCTCTTCTCAGTAGGAACAGCCAAAAAGCAAGCACTAGTCCGAGTTCCAACCTCAAAAGAGGCATTCTTGGGGATGCCCTGAAGGCCTTGCCTCTCTTCTTTGCAGAAGAGCCCTTGGCTTCTCTTTCATGCCTCAGTGGACCCTAACGGGACTTTCCTGACAAGACCCTAAAGCAACCAAATAAAATTTCCTCCACATGGTTCAAGCACCCAGCAGCAAAATAACAGCCAA